TGGGGTTCTAGAGGTCCATGGTGGTGTCAGATCCTCCAGGAATGACGCCTTCCAGGTTCCTGTAGGGTCTGGCAGGAGGTCCCTATGGGATCTGAGGAGCCTCATAGGGTCCTTGTGGGGCTCTAGGGGTCCATGGTGGTGTCAGGGCCTCTGGGAACGTCACCTCCCAGGTTCCTGTAGGGTCCCTATGGGATCTGAGGAGCCTCATGGGGCTCTAGGGGTCCATGGTGGTGTCAGGGCCTCCAGGAATGACACCTTCCAAGTTCCTGTAGGGTCCCTGTGGGATCTGAGGAGCCCTGTAGGGTCCTCATGGGGCTCTAGAGGTCCATGGTGGTCTCAGGGCCTCCAGGACCATCACCTCCCAGGTTCCTATAGGGTCTGGCAGGAGGTCCCTATGGGGCCTGGGGCTGTGACAGGGGGGCCAGAGAGTCCAGACGGGTCCCCATGGGCTGTAGGGTCCTGCAAGGGCTCTGAGGAGACCTGGAGAAGATCCAGAGGGGTCTGGGGGTGTCTGTGGTCCTCTTTGAAGCCCCCGGGGGTTCCTGGGTGGCGGCAGAGCCTGGGGGGGCTGTAGGAGGAGATTTTGGGGTGTTCGGAGCGTCCCTGACCAGTTTGGGGGTGTTTTTGGGTGTTGGAGGACACTTTGGGGTGACTTTGGAGATCTCGGGGACGTGTGACCAGCGTCGCCAAGCCCTGGGGGTGGGAGCGAGGAAGGACACGAGGAGATGCCAAGGAAGACGGGTCCTTGGGAGGCCGTTGGAGGCCACCACCGCCGTCCCCGTCCCCAGGGTGTCCCCACCGCGTCCCCACCGCGTCCCCGCAGGTCATCGCCGTGGTGGGCCAGCAGAACGTGGAGGGCAAGCGCATCCCGTTCGGCTTCAAGCACCGCACGCTGCCCCACTTCATCAAGGACGACTACGGCCCCGAGAGCCGCGGCTTCGTGGAGAACTCCTACCTGGCCGGCCTCACGCCCACCGAGTTCTTCTTCCACGCCATGGGCGGCCGCGAGGGCCTCATCGACACGGCCGTGAAGACCGCCGAGACCGGTGCGCGCCCGGCCGCCCTTGGCGCTCGAGGCGTCTGCGGGGCTTCTGGGGCCACCAGAGCCRCCTTGGGGACCACTGGGAGCTCCTGAGACCCCTAGACCTCCTAGGGACCCCTGGACTCTCCATGGAGTCTCCCAAGGGTCTCCAAACCATCCCGGGAGCTCCTGGGGGTTTTCCATGGGATCTGTTGGGATCCCTAGACTCCATGGAGCCTCCCAAGGGTCTCCAAACCATCCCAGGAGCTCCCAGGGAGCCCTTAGATCCTCCCTGGGACCCCCAGAGCCTCCATGGAGCCTCCCAAGGGTCTCTACAACCTCTCTGGACCTTGTGGGGGTCCTCCATGGAATCTGTTGGGACCCCTAGACTCAATGGAGCCTCCCAAGGATCTCCAAAATCTCCCCAGAGGTCCCAGGGATCCTCCAGACCCTCCTTGGGACCCCCAGACCCTCCATGGAGTCTCCCAAGGGTCTCCAAAGCATCCCAGGAGCTCCTGGGGATCCTCCAGACCCTCCTAGGGACCCCTGGACTCTCCATGGAGTCTCCCAAGGGTCTCCACAACCTCTCTGGACCTCCTGGGGGTCCTCCATGGATTCCCTTGGGACCCCTAGACTCCATGGAGCCTCCCAAGGGTCTCCAAAGCATCCCAGGAGCTCCTGGGGATCCTCCAGACCTTCCTAGGGACCCCTGGACTCTCCATGGAGTCTCCCAAGGGTCTCCACAACCTCTCTGGACCTCCTGGGGGTCCTCCATGGGATCTATTGGGATCCCTAGACTCCCTGGAGCCTCCCAAGGGTCTCCAAAGCATCCCAGGAGCCCCTGGGGAGTCCTTAGATCCTCCCTGGGACCCCCAGAGCCTCCATGGAGCCTCTCAAACATCTCCAGAACCTCTCGGGATCCCCTTGGAGACCCCCTAGCCCCTCCATGGACCCCCGGAGCCCCTGGGGACCCCGGTGGGGTGACGCGGCGCCGCCCCCCTCGCAGGCTACATCCAGCGGCGCCTCATCAAGTCCATGGAGTCGGTGATGGTGAAGTACGACGCGACGGTGCGCAACTCCATCAACCAGGTGGTGCAGCTGCGCTACGGCGAGGACGGGCTGGCCGGCGAGAGCGTCGAGTTCCAGAACCTGGCCACGCTCAAGCCCTCCAACAAGGCCTTCGAGAAGAAGTGAGCGGGGTGACGCCGGGTGACGCCCGCGGGAAGGCGGCTGGCCTCGCGACACCCCCACTCGGGGTGTAGTTTGGGGCAGAACTGGCCGGGTGTAGCCCTTGAGCGAGGAGGAGGCTCCGGGAAGGGTCAGGGTGTTGTCCCGAGCTGGGGTGTCACCCACGGGAGAGGGGTTGACATGACAACACCTCGAATCGGGGTGTAATCTAGGGGAGAACTGTCGTGGTGTAGCCCTTGAGCGAGGAGGAGGCTCCGGGAAGGCTCGTCAGGGTGTTGTCCCGAGCCGGGATGTCACCCATGGGAGAGGGGTTGACCTGGCAACACCCCACATCAGGATGGTGTCCCTCGGAGGGGAGGTGTTGACATGACAACACCCCAAATCGAGGTGTAATCTGGGAAGAATTGTCCCGGTGTAGCCCTTGAGCGAGGAGGAGGCTCCGGGAAGGCTGGTCAGGGTGTTGCCCCAGAGCAGGGTGTCACCTGSAGGGGAGGCGTTGCCTGGCAACACCCTGAATCAAGGTGTAAGGGCTGGTGAGGGTGTTGCCCCGCGGCGGGGCCGTCCCCCGGCGCCGCCTGACGCCGCCGGCCGCGCCGCCAGGTTCAAGTTCGACTACACGAACGAGCGGGCGCTGCGGCGCACGCTGCAGGAGGAGCTGGTGAAGGAGGTGCTGAGCGACGCGCACGTGCAGAACGAGCTGGAGCGCGAGTTCGAGAAGATGCGCGAGGACCGCGAGGTGCTGCGCGTCATCTTCCCCACCGGCGACAGCAAGGTGAGCGCCCCGCGCCTTGGGCCTGACCCACRAGTTACTGTAGACCCTTATTGTTGACCCACAAGTGACTGTTGATCCTTGTTTTTGACCAGCAAGTTACTGTTGACTCTTGTTCTTGACCTACAAGTTACTGTAGACCCTTATTGTTGACCCAYAAGTGACTGTTGATCCTTGTTCTTGACCAGCAAGTTACTGTAGACCTTCATTGTTGACCCACAAGTAACTGTTGACCTTTATTGTTGACCCATAAGTTGCTGTAGACCCTTATTGTTGACCCACAAGTGACTGTTGATCCTTGTTCTTGACCAGCAAGTTACTGTAGACCTTCATTGTTGACCCACAAGTGACTGTTGACCCTTGTTSTTGACCTACAAGTGATTGTTGACCCTTGTTGTTGACCTACAAGTGATTGTTGACCCTTGTTCTTGACCTACAAGTTGCTGTTGACCTTTATTGTYGACCCACAAGTGACTGTTGACCTTTATTGTTGACCCACAAGTGACTGTTGASCCTTGTTCTTGACCCACAAGGTGCTGTAGACCTTCATTGTTGACCCACAAGTTGCTGTTGACCCTTGTTCTTGACCAGCAAGTTACTGTTGACCTTCATTGTTGACCCACAAGTTGCTGTTGACCCTTGTTCTTGACCCACAAGTGCTTCTTGGCCCTTATAGTTGACCCATAAGTTGCTATAGAGCCTTATAGTTGACCCACAAGTAACTGTTGACCTTTATAGTTGACCCAYAAGTAACTGTTGACCYTTRTWSTTGACCCACAAGTKRCTGTTGACCCTTGTTGTTGACCCACCCGCTGGTGCTCCTTGCCATCATCTCGTTTTTGGGTGTGAATCCCCCCTTTTTGGGGCTGTTGACGCCCTCTCTGCCCGCCGCGCGGCGCCTGTAGCTCCCCCTGTGTCGGGCTGTTGCCCCCCGGCACTTGGGGGGCGCTGAGCCCCCTTTCTGCCCCCTGCCCAGGTGGTGCTGCCCTGCAACCTGCTGCGCATGATCTGGAACGCCCAGAAGATCTTCCACATCAACGCGCGCCTCCCCTCGGACCTGCACCCCGTCAAGGTGGTGGAAGGTGAGCGGGACCCCGCGGGGCGCTGGGGGGCTCTGGGGTCCCTCGGGGTCCTCAGGAGCTGCTGGTGGCTCCTCCCGGACCCCAGGGGGGGGTTGAGGGGCTTTTGGACCCCTCAAGACCCTTCGGGAGACGCTGGGGCGTCCTGCCAGCCCCTTGTGGTCCCTTAGGGAGGTTCTGGTGGGTCTTCTGGATCTCCCATGATCCTCTAGGAGATGCCAGGGGATCTTGCCAGATCCTTGTGGTCCTTCAGGGAGGTTCTGGTGGGTCTTCTGGACTACCATGACCTTCCAGGAGATGCTGTGGGGTCCTACTAGCTGCTTGTGGTTCCTTAGGGAGGTTCTGGTGGATCTTCTGGACCTCCCATGACCTTCTAGGAGATGTTAGAGGGTCCTGCCAGCCCCTCATGGTTCCTTAGGGAGGTTCTGGTGGATCTTCTGGACCTCCCATGACCTTCTAGGAGATACCGGGGGACATTAGAGACCCCCCCCCGGACCCCCAGAGGTCCCTGAGCCCGTTGTGGTCCACGCAGGGGTGAAGGAGCTGAGCCGGAAGCTGGTGATCGTCAACGGGGACGACCCGCTGAGCCGGCAGGCGCAGGAGAACGCCACGCTGCTCTTCAACATCCACCTGCGCTCGACGCTCTGCAGCCGCCGCATGGTGGAGGAGTTCCGCCTCAGCGGCGAGGCCTTCGACTGGCTCCTGGGCGAGATCGAGTCCAAGTTCAACCAGGCCATCGTGCGTGGGGCGCGGGGGGAGGAGGGGGTCCAGGTCCCACCAGACCCGTCGTGTGGGGGGCAGATAGCGGGGTCTGGAGGGGCCTTCAGCTGGCTCCTTGTTGAGGTTGAGTCCCAGTTCAACCAGACCCATCATGTGGGTCACCCTTGGAGATCAGAGGGACCCCCGTGTGGCCCATGGGGAAGAGGGGGTCCAGGTCCAACCAGACCCGTCACTTGTATGGCACCCTTGGAGATGAGAGGAACCTCCAGTTGAGCCCGGGTCCAACCAGGACCATCACGTGTGGGGCACATCTGGAGGTCAGAGGAGCCTCTGCGTGGCCCGTGGGGAAGAGGGGGTCCAGGTCCCACCAGACCCGTCGTGTGGGGGGCAGATAGCGGGGTCTGGAGGGGCCTTCAACTGGCTCCTTGTTGAGGTTGAGCCCAGGTTCAACCAGACCCATGACATGTGGGTCACCCTTGGAGATGAGAGGGGCCTCCAGTTGAGCCCAGGTCCAACCAGACCCATCACGTGTGGGTCACTCTTGGAGATGAGAGCGAGCCCAGGTCCAACCAAGGGTGTGGGTCACCCTTGGAGATCAGAGGAGCCTCCAGTTGAGCCCAGGTCCAACCAGACCCATCACGTGTGGGTCACTCTTGGAGATGAGAGCGAGCCCAGGTCCAACCAAGGGTGTGGGTCACCCTTGGAGATCAGAGGGGCCTCCAGTTGAGCCCAGGTCCAACCAGACCCATCACGTGTGGGTCACTCTTGGAGATGAGAGCGAGCCCAGGTCCAACCAAGGGTGTGGGTCACCCTTGGAGATCAGAGGAACCTCCAGTTGAGCCCAGGTCCAACCAGACCCATCCTGTGGGTCACTCTTGGAGATGAGAGCGAGCCCAGGTCCAACCAAGGGTGTCGGTCACCCTTGGAGATGAGTGGGACCTCCAGTTGAGCCCAGGTCCAACCAGGGCCACCTTTGGGCCCCCGCTGGCCGCTGGGGACGTCCTCGGTGGCCCGGGGACACACGCGGGGTGGCCGGCGGAGGCCGCGTGTCCCCGGCGCCGGCCCGCGGGACACGCGGTGTCCCCCGCAGGCGCACCCCGGCGAGATGGTGGGCGCGCTGGCGGCGCAGTCGCTGGGCGAGCCGGCCACGCAGATGACCCTCAACACGTTCCACTACGCGGGCGTCTCGGCCAAGAACGTCACGCTGGGCGTGCCCCGCCTCAAGGAGCTCATCAACATCTCCAAGAAGCCCAAGACGCCCTCGCTCACCGTGTTCCTGCTGGGCCAGAGCGCCCGCGACGCCGAGCGCGCCAAGGTGGGTGCCACCCCCGTGGCCGCGTGGGGTCTCCTCCATGTTCCCATGGCTGTGGGGTGGTCCGTGGTCACCTCCAGGTCCCCTCTGTGTTGCCATGGCCATGGTGTGGCACCATGGTCACCTCTGTGTCCTCTCTGTGTCCCCATGGCCGTGGGGTGGCCCCATGGTCCTCTTCGTGTCTCCATGGTCATGGGGTGGCCCATGGTCACCTCTGTGTCCCCTCCGTGTCCCCATGACCATGGGGTGTCCTGTGGTCACCTCTATGTCCCCTCCGTGTCCCCATGACCATGGGGTGGCCCCATGTCACCTCTGTGTCCCCATGGCCACATGAGGTCTCCTCCATGTCCCCATGGCCACGGGATGTCCCAGTGTCACCTGCAGGTCCCCATGGCCATGAGATGTCCCCCATGTGTCCCCAGAGCCACTCAGGGTCCCCTCCATGTCCCCACGTGTCCCCGACATCCCCATGTGTCCCTATGGCCCCATGTGTCCACAACGTCCCCACGTGTCCCCGTGTGTCCCCCCATGTGTCCCCATGCTGACGCCGCCTGTCCCGCAGGACATCCTGTGCCGCCTGGAGCACACGACGCTGCGCAAGGTGACGGCCAACACGGCCATCTACTACGACCCCAACCCGCAGAGCACCGTGGTGGCCGAGGACCAGGAGTGGGTCAACGTCTACTACGAGATGCCCGACTTCGACGTGAGCCGCATCTCGCCCTGGCTGCTGCGCGTGGAGCTCGACCGCAAGCACATGACCGACCGCAAGCTCACCATGGAGCAGATCGCCGAGAAGATCAACGCCGGTGCGCAGGAAGAGGGGGGATCTATGGGGGTTGAGGGATCTCAAGAGGTTGAGGAAGCTCAAGGGAGTTGAGGGATCTCAGGAGGTTGAGGGGTTTCAAGAGGTTCAAGAGGCTCAAGAGGTGGAGGGATCTATGGAGCTTGATGGGTCTCAGGAGGTTGAAGGATCTATGGGGGTTGGGGGATCTATGGGAGCTGAGGGATCTCAAGGGAGTTGAGGAAGCTCAGGAGGTTCAGGAGTCTCAAGAGGTTCAGGCGTCTCAAGAGGTTCAAGAGTCTCGGGGTTGAGGGATCTCAGGA